CTCAAATCCACACAGTGGTGCTCTTGAGATATTCCTGCACTGACCAAAGCATGTCCTTGACACATAAAGTCCATGAGCTGGTGCAAGGTGAGGCATCTGGCTGCCAAGCTGCAAGAGGGACTGGCACTGTGCATTTGTGCTTCTATTACTATCTGCCCTTCCAATACCCAGCGCCTGAAACTCACTCTTTAAATGCACAAAGAGATATTACAAGGCTCCTATTTAAATTGAGAAAAACAGTCTGTTAAAAAAGCTAATATAGAATCTGTAATGCTCAATAAAAAGTTTGTGTTTTACGGTTTAAGACCCCAGTGAAAATAAGTATTAAATATTCCCACCATCCAGCTATTTAGCAGCCTAGACTCATACTTTTTTTTCCTTTACTATTGTTCCATTACTGGCAGCAGACTTACAGTGTCTGGTTATTTTTTGTCTTTGGACAACTCGTGATTTTTGCAGTTCCTCTGGCTCCACCTGTACATCCAACAGGACTCTCTTCATTTAATATATGTCTAAGTGGTTCCGTCTGCTCCAGTTGAGTCCTTGCAAATGCTACAGAGCTCCTTTCTGAGGCTGTGTTAGGTGCCTATATCTTTGGGAATGATCTTGGAAAAGTCAGCAGCAGCAGGCACAGTCTGCCATAACCTTAAGATAAATCCCTGCTTTCTCCCTGCTTTGATATATTGTTCCTTCCTACCAATAATTCCAAGCTCCTCTGCCTTCATTCAGTAGTGATTAAATACACAGGCAATGATGTGTGCTGTCTGTAGGCCACGTTATATCTTCATTTCTAGCATGACAGTAGTCGAGTAATCGCAGCCTACTGGAACTGCACCTTGGCTAGCAATTCTTAGGACTGCTTGCATAGGGTGAGAGGTTTTGAGTACAGCAATTTCTAGGGGTTTCATGAGAATAAGCAGGAAAGCTCTATTAGTGAAGGGTGAGATAATAAGATCTATTATTTAAAAAAAATATTGGGGTAGAGGGGAAACCTCCAAAGGCCAAAGCTCTCTCGGGAATACTTTTCACCCATTTAAGTGCTTTTCAGGAATGGGGAAGCAACAGTTACTCTTTAATTTAAGTCCAAGCTGGTTAAAAGGAAAGAAGCTGTATATGGAGAGCTAGATATATATGGTAGCAGTCTGTGTTGGATACTTCTGCACTGCTCTGCAGAGGGCAGCTGTCCTTATCTTGATCAAAGGAACAGGGTAGGTCCTGGGTATCTATGGCTGAGTGTTACAGCATTTGCAATAGGTGGCTCAGAAAAGCCATTTATACACATTGGAAGTCAATTGGAGGGGTCTATTCTCTACACTTTGGAAATTTCTGGGAGTTCATAAACTGAGAAGATTGGAAACTGCTGAGCACAATGAGATGTGGGCTCACACTGAGGCTGTGTGCAGCTGAACAGTTTCCCAGCCCCAGCTGCAAGGGGAGCACTTGTGGGTGGCACTCCAGATTTGGACCTGGGAAGCACTCTTCCCAAAGATGTGCTGCTGGGCAGCAGTGTGGTTACTGAGCTGCTCCACGAGGAAGGCAGCAGCCTGCTCCGAGTCTTTCTCATCTCAGCTTCCCCTCTTTCCAGTGCAAATCTATTAACAGGAAAATCTCAAGTTAGAGGAAAAAGCTGCAGTTACAGTCTGGGAGTACAGAGAGAGGTCAGAGTAAGGAGAAGCTTATGCAAAAGTCACCGCTGGGCTGGTATCTGGCTGTGCTGACTGAAGGGTTGGATTGGGTTTAGGCCTGTGGCTGGGCAGGATGCTTCAGAGTGAAAAGACTTGGCTGGAGGAGATGGGTTGGGGCTAGGAATAGCTGGCTGTGTGTCATGGGGTATAGTCAGAGCCGTGGCTGGGCCATAGGGATTGGTTGGGAGAACTGGGATGGGGATTGCCTGGTATTTCAAGAGGTGGAATCTTTTGTACCCTGCTTTCTTGATTGCCCTTTGTGCTCAATGGCAATCCCTTCCTGTGCCATGGTTAGTTCAGTTCCAACTATCTTAAGTGCCTGTGCCTCACACTACATTTCCTGGTGGTGGATGTTTCTAAAACAGCTTTGCTAGTGGAATCTTCTGAATTACAGTGTGTTAAAGAGCAAATAATTTTTTATGTAATTAAGAACCAAACAATAATTCTGTGATCAGCAAAAAGCCCGCAAGGTCAGCTGCAAGGCAGAATGCAGAGAACAGGAAGGACATGCCATCAGGAAATCTCTGTATCTTGGTTGGGCTTCTAACTGCCAGGCATTGTGACAGCAATGCCAACACTGCTCCAAACCCTTGATGTAGAAGAGGAAAACAGGGCTCTCAGATCCTTTATGGACCATGCAGAACATTTCTCCAGCTCACACCCAGACATGCAGAGGTTAACCAAGTGGTTTCTCCCAAGTGACAAGGACCAGAGGCTGAGACTGCTTCAGAATGACTCCTTGCACACCAGGTGAAGCAATTTTTTCACATACAAAAAGGTAATGGTGAGATTCTCCACATCTCTGCCCAAATGAATGTAACAAACCCACGTTATTTTAAGAGGACCCTTCCCCAGAGTACAATTTCTCCATCCAGTGCTGGTATTGGAAAAATCTTAAAATTGGATGTTCCCATTTTTTTTTTTTTTTTTTTTTTTTCAGTGCTTCCATACCTTTAGTGTAGAAGAAAGAACTTAGACATACAAGATTCTTGTGCTACGGATTTATAATAACTTTTTATTAATATATTATGCTACAAAAATATTTTGACAAAATAATATTAGAAAGCATCTTTTTATTACACTCTTCAAAACAGTTCACAAAAGCAGGAGGCGGAACAGGAAAAAATATTTGAAATACAGTTGAATCAAAAACTGACAAACATGCAATTTAAAATTCAGTGTGAGCATGAATCTACAGGGCAGTTAATCATTCCTGTAAGTGAGAAATGTGGATTACTACTTGGCAAGATCTTGCTGTAGCTAGATTAAGGTGCCTCCCAAAGAGCTTGATGCAGGAAAGTCTGCATTTAAGTTGGGACAAAGCACACGTGTGCACCCACAAACACTCCTACAGACACTCAAGCCCATGAGCTCAAAATTAGGAAGCTGGCTCTCTGCTCCAATTAAGCCAAAACAGGCTGAAGCTGAAATCTTGCATGCTATGTTGATCACTCTGGAGATAAAGCAAGCCCCTGTGCTTTTTGGATATAAAATAGAAATGTCTTACGGTACTACGCGAAGTGAGGAGTGATAACTGTGATAACCACTATGGCACTTTGGTTTCTCTGACTTAAAGGTATGATGGGAAACTCCTCTCTAACAGTGGTATATGTAAGGACTGATTGGGACTTATCATTCTACTAATCAATGCACTGAGCATGGTGCTCTTTCCCTCTGTCTCTCATCATTGTATATTGAAGACAAACATACAGCTCTGTACCTTGGGTGTTCCTAAGTTATGCTGGAGATTGGAGGAATGGGAAGTTCAACAGAGTAGATTTTTGACATCTGTATGAAGCATAGTTACTATAAATCATTTCATTTATTTCTGGAAGAAGTATTGCATTATTCAACAGCCCAAGGGATTGCAGAGAAACTGCATCAGTCATAAAATACAACATACCTTCTGTTGCAGCTTACTGACTGGTTCTTCAAGTGGCGATGCATGTTAATACAGCATCTGTAGTTAAACATTGGCAAGAGAAACACTGAAACAATTACAGAGTGGAAGTCAGTCCTGTTGCTGGTGGTATGGTATATTTACTGGGACAATAGCTAGGTAGAAAACAACATTCCTTTCTAATATTACCACTACACATACTTTGAATTGCAGTAGTGTCAGTTGCAGCTGAGTTGATAAGGTGAATCACACAAACGTTCAACTGTGGGCCCAACAGTGTGGAACATTTGTGTACCTGTTTGCTAGACGCTGAATGACTCTCTTGATTGTGTTTCTTACAAGTAAACGCTATCATCAGTATTTGCTGTCTTACATAGTGTGGATCATATTTATTTTTAAAACCCTCTCTCCTGCAATTTGTCACTGGAAATCTGAGTTTTCATCAGAAAGAGATAAAGCAGTTGGATCCTCACTCTCTGAGAAATCCACTGAATAAAAGTGAAGCCCCGTGAAGCTGGTAGTCAGTGTTACTTCCAGAACATGCATCAAATCTGATATACACTATAAAATCACATGGAATAAAATCATGATCCAATGTGCATAGATCTGTGCCAATACACCAGTACTGATGTATTTCAATTAATACTGAGCTAGTGTAGCTGATTAATAAATAACCTGTTTTATTAATCACAGTGAGGGTCTCATTTTCTAGTACTGCGATCCTTGCTTGCCAAGGATTTTAAAAGGAATAACAAGTTACCCAAAGTCATAGCTTAGGGAAGACAAAATAAGAAATACTTGGTCAGCAAACTACACCGAAGCCATTCAGCTGGGGTTCCTGAGCTAGTATCTGTGTGAAGCATCTTCTCTTAAACTTATTGCAAGTGGTTTCTTCTTCCCTAGCCAGGGGTGATGGTGTGAGCTGGCAGAAGGGTGCTGGCTCCAAGCCCAGCAGATACCTTGCTTGGACACCTGCACTGCAGGATGACTGGGCAGAAGGATAAGTGAAATGCGGCGACCTCCAGCAGTGCTCACTCATTTCACAGAGTCTGTAGGTAAAATGCCAAGAAATGTAAATATGCCACAACGTATGACATCATAGCTTTGATGTCCAAGCTATTTACATACTGTGATATCCAAACACGCTGTGATATAGGAGCTAGTATCTAGTATTACTATTACTGTCCATTGGACTCAGGAAATTTATTAGTGACAAACAGTGATTATTCTGTGTGGTACGGTGACAGCTGTGGCTGTGTGCTCATTATAAGAAAAAAGAAAAAAGACTAAGAGTCCTACAGAGAAAACCACAGGTTGGGTAGAGTGGAACTGTAGGTTCCAGTCTTGATCCTGTTGGTGGTTTTCCTTATGGTCCTGGCCATGCTGTTTCTGTTTTTTACTTTTTTTTTTTTTTTTTTTTTTTTTTTTTTTTTACTTTTTCTTTCTCTGATCTTCATATGGTTTTATCTATTAGTTCTGTAAGCTCTCTGACACTGGGAATTATTTCTGGTATGGCACCACAGAATCATTTCTGGACTTGATCAGATCACAGCAAATAAAATTCAATGGGCTTTGATTCATTGGCTGTTCACTTTTACCGTGTAACTAATCATCACCCTTATGACTTGCCTACCTTATTTCCAGCTCAATTTTTGTACCTAACGTCCTGTCATTCAGTTCTGAACTCTGTTTTGAATATGGCAGGAGAACCAATCTTTTAGAATGTGTTAAGGTTGAATTTGAAGGCCTGTTAAGCCATTATATTCAAATGAAGCCACTTTGGGGGAAATGGACAAATAAAACTGAAATGAAAGTTCTCAAAATATGTTTCCAATATCTAACTCAGTGCAATAAATATTATGCAAGGTGAATGGCTTCTGTCCAAAGCTAACATCTCTAATCTTCTGCTAGCCAAAATACACAACACAGAAGTATGCACAGGGTGTGCTTGAATCTCCTATTTGGGGCAAAGCTTGAAGTTTTCCATTCAGTCTTATCAACTATTGTGCTTTATAAAACAGAGGCAGCTTACACGGCTGTCTGCTGTACCCACTTAAGTCAATCACAAATCTATACATCCTTTTCTCCAAAATAAAGCAAGAGCTGAAGTCATGGGCTGTAGTAAGGCAGATGAAAGTAAAGTGTTCTCCCTTGCCTTGGCAAAGCAATGGGCTGGGATGCATGGTGGAAAAGCTCAGGTTTATCATGGTTCCAAATAAAACCACGTACTTATTTCAGGCTGACTATTTCCTAAGCTTTTTTCTTGACTCATTATTCTGGTGACAAACAAACTGTGAATCCTGAACCATCTTCCACTCAGGAGACCTAAAGATGACATGGAATTGTCTCCAGTTCTGAAGGTGATGCTGCTGCCAGCCCAATAACAGTCAGGTTTTTGTCAGTGTTATTGTGATTGCTGTCATTATCTGAATGTGATTCTTAAGGTGAAAAAGCAATGCATTTTCATAGATGGATTGTGTTTTCCTTTTTTTATTTTCAGTTCTTGTTTAAGTTATTTTCATGACACTTTTTGTACTGCAGATGACTTCAGGGAAAAAAAAAAAAGACTATTTTAAAAAAAAAAATTGTTAGGATTTTTTTGCAGTGAAAGTAATTTTTTTTCATCCTGTGTTTTTGGGGAAAAAATTAACAATAGCCTTAGTAAACATGGCTGTTATTAAGATGGATGTATTTTTTTTCCCATGGATGATGTTCATCTGTTTAATGAGAAGTAGCTGCTTGGAGATTGGGCGAATTTTTTCATTGAGTGCAAGTTGTCAGAACTTAATCCTTCTATTCACTTAGATGGACGTAGTCTACAAACAGAGGAGAGGTTTTGCATGACTATGAATTACCTTGGTTCCTGTAGCCTTGAAGAGATTGTGGACAGATTATAATTCAATGTGAGGATTCCAACTCTAAGCATAATAGCAAGATGCCGATGATTTCTAGACATTTCCTTCCCTCCCTGCAGGTTGACTATCTATTTATCAATTGAATTAATAAAGCAGTTCTACAGATTAGCATGATATTGCATCTTTATGCTCTATAGACAGACCAAGTCCTGCTCTCATTTATGCTGGAAAGGATTGCAGGCTTGTGTTTATATAAAAAGAGGGAGAGAATAATTCCAGTGGGATTACTGCAGTTAAAATGAAATCTTTTATTAAGAGAAAGATGTCTTAATCTCAGGCTAAAAAGGGAGATTGGTAATTTCTAGAGAAGGTGAATGGTTGAGTTAAAGACAACTGGGGAACATAGAGGGTTATCTTGACTAACGACTTACTAAGTCATACAAAAATAACTGAGATTTTAGGTTGTAGCAGCTGATTTGAGAGTGCACTTATCCCTCTACTGGGCATAGGCTGCAGATAAGGGGATCTGCTTTATTTAGTCTAAGTTATTCTAAAGAGAATTGTAGAAAAAGCAAAATAGAGTACAAATGTACTTATTGGATTGTTGCTGTAAGAAGTTCTGTTTAAAGAAACAAGCCATTCATTTTGGTGCCACTTCAGGCATTTGCAGAGTTGTCAGTTAAAAAAACAAATATAGAAAATATTAATTTATCTGTTTCACCATCGCTACTGATTACTAGGGATGTTATTGACATATACAACAAGAAAAAAATAAGTTTACCAGTCGAATAAATACACTTTTTTTTCTTTTTTCTTTATATGAACATGAATATTTTACAAAACCCCATAGCACTATGGGAAATAAAGATCCTTCTACAAAAAGAAGATGTAAGTCAGTGTTACAATAAAGCTTTAGAGTTTCAAAATGTATCTGGGCAAAGAGACAAAATCAGCTAGAAGGCACTCTTGATTCACTGAGAAGGTCCAGTCTGGAAATGCTGTCAAAACATCCAATTCGTTCATAAATTATCTCTCTTCTCTATTCCAAGGGATTGCACGTAATACCAATGTGGTCAGGAAGGCTGCAGTAGATTCAGGAGGAATGAAGCTATGGCCACGTAGAGAGGAGCAGTCACTGATGGCCATAATATGGTGGCTGAGGCTGAGCTTGTAGGCTGAGGCTGGGATGGGTGATCTGAGCGCGGCCTTTGGTCCAGCCGGTTGGAAATCCAAATGGGAGGTTTGACTGTGATGTAGCCATTGGTTATCCTGATATAGGAAGGCAACGTGGTGGTGCTAAAAGAAAACACAAGAGAAGGAAGTTAAATGGGAGAGCCCTTATCTTTGTTCTGTGAGCTGATGTCCAAGCTGGCAGTAACAACAACCATCTCAATTATTTTTTTGCCCTCTGTAGATCACAGAGAGACTCCCAGAGGACGCTAACTGTGATGGTCTGGACACAGCTCTGATTCAGGAAGTCCCTTCAATTCTGGCTGCTGGTAGAATATAACCAAAGAAGAGATCACTCTTGATGAATTTAATTTATTGCACTCATTTTTTTTTTTTATTTTTTTATTTTTTTTTATTTTTTTTTTTTTAAGCATCCACTACTGGCCATCTTTCAGAGACTGTGACAGGTGTATCCTTGTACTGAACCATTTGGAATGTCTCAGAGCTATGATTTCCCACCAAGGACTTGATACCAAGTCCAGGAGGGGCCAAAAGAGATGTCTTTCTCCTGTTTCACACCTCATAAGGAATTCCCTAGGATCCCTTACAAAACCGATAACTTTGGGCATAGGAGACCAAGCAGTTTCATTTCTTTTCCTAGTTTTAGGGAATTCTGGATCCTATGACAATGCCAAAAACAGACTCAGGGTGAAGTTTCTCCAGCTGTGGCTTTGCCTCAATAGTAGTGTGATTGCTTATTGATTGCAGCTTGAGTTAGTACTTTGATTTGAATGTGCATGTTGGAATTCATCACGATTCCCATGACAGTAAAGGTCAAAAAAGTCAGTTCTCCATTGATTTGCAAGTTTTAAGTTGTAATTTCCATTTCATAAAATGCTTCCTTTGCACCCAGCACTGGATGGTCCATAATCCATCAGCTGTCACAGAGCAGCATACGTGAGTATGCAGACTGTGCAAGGTAGATCCTGGACTTAAAAACAAGGCTCTGCTGTGGAGCAAGGGGGAAACAGGCAAGTCCTTCTGAAAACAAGATGTGACAAGAATACCTGCAGATTCTCTCTGTTACTTCTTAAATCTTCCATAGAGGGAATTTGGGAGCACTAACAATGACCTTCACATAATTTTTTTTTATGGTGTAAGAAGCTCTGCAGTCCTGTAACTATTTAGCTACAGTATCTGAGATCCTGACCCTGGAGGAAAAAGGCTGTGCCTTGCGTAAGATCAGATAAAAGGAACAATACTTCGTTCCAGATTCATGCACAGAATTTAGAGGCAATGAATGCTTTTGTCTTTTTCTGTCTAAGCCAATACTGAGATAGCATATAATTATCACCATTGTTCAGAGCTTTTTAGCTCAGATGCTTAAGAAGTGTTGAATTGCTCATAAGCTGTAAGAAGATCAGAGTCCACCCAGAAGAGGGCACTGGTAAACTCATGCTGGTCAACATCAAATGCAGCAGACAATCACAGCACATAGCACTTCCATTTTTAGTTTCAGGGTAATTCTTTTCAGTTCCTCCCTCATTCTTTACACTGTCACCACATTTTCTGGGTGGGACCTTAACTGATGTGTGATGAATTGGAGGTAAAGGCTGCCTAGAATTAAAGACATGGGGACTGCTTCATGAGAACAGATACTCCATTTAGCCAGTATTATGTCTTGATAGTGAGAAGGAGTGCTTATACCAGAGGAACAAACTACTGTAAACACAGGATTATGAAATCACACAATGCTGGAGACAGCTCTTATCTAAATTCCTGTAGTGAGTAGCTGGATTGTATCTTTAATGGATGACACAGGGTATGCAGCTTCAGAATTTGTGATACTGCATCAAAAAACATTAGATTTGGGATAAGGTTATGCTCTGTTTTAAATCTCTAACTCCATACCGTTTGCCCTTAGTAAGGTGCTTGTACTCTTCTTCAGGTGACTTGTAGCTTTACAGAAATAAGCCATTTAGCCCTAAGTTAAAATTAAGTTTGCAAGAAAGGTTTGACTTCTGGTTTTCAAATGTCACCACAATGCCATGCAGGATTTACAGTTTGGGTATATCCTACTCCTGACCCATTTTATGGGCTTGTTTCTCCAGTGAGACTAAAAGGTACGATGTCCCTTGCACAGACTGTCATTTTGCACCTCTGGGATGTATGATGTGAGTTGTCTGGGGTGGGGGACAGGCTGGTTAGGGATTCACAGCCAACCGGAGGGTTCCTAAAGGAGTCTTAAATCAAGAGTTTGCTTTTCTGTATGATGTGCTTCCATTTTTTAGCAAACTTCCAGAAGTGTCCAGGGCTTCCTGTCAAGAGACCTGAGAAGTTTTTACCACTCTTCTCAGCCAGTGAGGTCATTTACTGGTTTCAAGACATTAGATTTATAGAGATGTTTCTTTGTTAAGATAAATATTGTTAGGTGGGGTTATTTGTTAGTTAAAAAAAAAATAAATCCATAAGTGCTTTAATAGGGAAGAACAGTGTGTTTCCATTAACGTGTACAAGACACACAAATAGCAGATGAATCATAGCTTAGCCATATAATATATTTTGTTAAATGCAACTCCACTTCTAGCATGCTAGCCTATGGCCCAGGTGGTCTAGAGATAAAGAGAATGATCGCTTTGAACAAACACTACATGCCTTCTTGTAAAATCTTTGGTTCAAGATTGTAACTTGACCGTTTCTATGGTGAGTGGGAAGAGAAATCTCAGCCTCCAGGGGGTAGAGCCTTAGATTCACTAAGGTTGGAAAAGACCACTAAGGTCATCTATCTAGTCCAAGTGCCAGCCCATCCCCACCATGCCCTCTGGGGGTCTTCCTTTTCCTGCAGGTTACACAAGGTAAGACAGCTTGGTTTGATTGCAACCTTATCTTAGAGGTGGCTCAGGTGATGAGAGAACTTTTCCAAGCTCACTCTGAGCACATGTGCCCAGGCGTGTGGGAATCTCACTGACTCCCATAGGAAAGGAGAATCAGGGTCCCCTGACCTCAACTGGATGCTTCCCACTGACCTCAAAGAGGTTTTGATTCTTCCTGAACTGTATGTGTGATTCACAAGATGAATCACAGATCTTGGGGATAATAAGCTAAATTATTGTTACACATTCTCTTGCCAGACAAGGCTATTCCACGTTTGAGTTTTTTGCATCTGATAAAAATGTCTTTAGTAAAACATTCCACGTGAGTGATGATGAATAGGCAACCAGTGGCTCTGCTGTTCATACGTCTCTCTTTTGCTCCTGTGTATGGGATTGTTTTAAGAATTTGGAAGACTCCAGGTATATTTTAGCCAAAAGACCTGCGGTATCACATTCACAAGCTTGTACTTTTGATCAGATAATAGGGCGGTTTTTCAAATCACTGCATTAGTCATACATTGTCTTACCACCACTAGAATGTGTAAAACTTTCTCAAAAATGAGGCCTCAGTCACAGGCTGTATGAACAGATCCTACTGAATCCAATTACATGAATCAAGTCCTTTACGCTGGGGGTACGCTGAAGCACCTTGATGATTTGGGAGCATGTTAAAATTGAAAATAAAATGCACACACAGCCCCATGGGGGAATTTCTGTTCTGGTTTAGCTTGCAAGGAGCTTGGAAATACACTTTCAGTTTAACTTCAGGTTTATTCCCATATGCAGGGCACATTTGACCACGTGTGACACCACATCAGAATCACAGAACACAGGGCTAAGGAGGGACTTTCTGGCCCATCTGTTGCAAAGACTGGGAGATTGAAACTCTCCTGAGCTGTATGTCTAATCCAGTCTTCAAAACTGCATACAATGATAGCAATTCCAGAGTCTCTGCAGAGAAATCTGACATCCAGAATTACTGCATCATGTTTCACCAAATATCCCATGCTACAGCTCGAGTTCGTGACTCCTGCTGTCCCCACAGACCCGTTCATTCCTTTCCTTTTCTCAGCAGCCTTTCAAGTAGTTTGAAGACTTAACCATGTTTCATCTCAGTCTTCTCTCATATGTGTGAACAATTCTCCCTACTCTTTTTCTCCAAGTCCTTGTGAAAGTCCATGAGAAGCTCTGGTTCCCACTTAGGAACCCACTTTGCAGTTTCCATGAAGATGGTCTTTTCACTATTTCTGCTCCCAAACCACCCGTACTGGAAGCATAAAGCTTCCAGTAACTGATCTCAAGCTGATGGAAAATTGGTGTATTCTGAGGGGAGGGGACTGGCTCAGTTCTGATGATGCTGAAGCTGCTCCAGGGGAGGTTCAAGTTTGGTACCAGGAAATATTTCTTCTCTGAAAGAGCAGTCATGTACTGGCAAAGGCTGCCCAGAGAGGTGGTGAGGTCACCATCCCTGGAGGTGTTCAAGAATGGTGGGGATGTGGCACTGAGGGACATGGTTCAGTGGGTAATACTGGTGGTAGGTGGATCGTTAGATTTGAGGATCTTTTTCTCACCTTAATTACTTGATTCTATGAGTTTGTATTTGCATGCTTTTTTTTTTATCTGCTGCCATCTTTCAGTCCCAACATGGTTTCCATTCAAATTGGAGGAAGTGGCCTTTTAAAGCAGAACTTAAAAAGTGTTTGGGGATTTTCCTGGATCAAAAGAGCTATGTAAACACATGACAAGTATTTTAAATAAATATAAACAAATGTGGATTCAGGCTGCCTTTCTTACAGCATGAAATCTGATGAAAGCAGCTTATTAAGATGATGTGCTAGCATAGATTGAACACTGAAAATAAGCATTTTTCAACTGAAAACCTTTTAATACTGCCTTTCTTGTGAACACTGTTCTTGCAGCCAGAGGGATAAGTCCTGCAGGATGCTGAGTCTCAAACGAGCAGGACTCTTAGCTCTGCAGGCACAAGTGCTCCCAGAAAGGTTCGTCTGCACATACCTACAACTCAGCAAGTTCTAAAACCTCTTGCAGGATCAAGGCCAACAGGCTCACGCTTTGGCAAGATTCATTCAGTTCATCGAAAAAAAGAAGAAAAAAACCAGAAAACTCCGATCTGGATCAGATTAAGGAATCAGAGTTTTGTCCAGGGGAGACCATTCATTTGCAGTAGTGCAGTAAACTGCCTTTGCATGTCTGGATGAGTGAACAATCTCATACACTGGTTTGTGGCCAACA